ATAATTATTTTAAGATGGATTTTTATTTGGAATAAAATATTATTATTTTTATTATTATATTATTATTTTTAAAAGATACGTTATATTTTCTGTACGGATTCCGTAGATCAATTTGGTTAAAGATCGGATTCCGCGTGGAAAGTGTGTGCAAGTCAAACTATAGCCAAACAACAAGTCTGTCGCTTGGCGACAGACCTTGTCGCCTCGCGACAGACACTGTCGCCTCGCGACAGACACTGTCGCCTCGCGACAGCGTGTAGTTTTATTCCTTATCAAATTCTATGCTTTTCCGGACTATTTTCCTTATAAATAGGGTCCTCGACCTCCGTTTTTATTCACTCACAATCATCAATTCTCTCTATTCTCTCTTGAGAAATATATGCTTTCTTTCTCTCTCTCTTTCTAAACCAACCTTTTAAACACAATTCCGCATACACAAGATTTAGAATCATCTAGCCAAGTTCGAAGTTGCCTTCGCCCTAGACGTGCAAGGTTTATAATTTTATGAGGGTTTGGTCCAAATCTAGTTTAAACTTTATTTAATTTAATTCTTTATTATTTTCATTGAAGTTTACTAACTTGTGTATTTTGTTATTAGAAAGAGGTACGAGGCTTCAAAGTATGTAATCTTATTACTCTCTTTCAATGTAGAAAGCATGTTTATTATTGTTTAATTCCTAGTATCATGTTAGGATGTATTTATGATTCCTAGTATCATGTTAGGATGTTATTTAATGCTTTCTAGTATCATGTTTAGGGTGCCTTTTACTCTTTTTCTAATAACATGTTAGTACCATGTTAGGTTTAAAGCTTTAATTTTTATTGTTTAGTGACATGCTAGGATTTGTTATTAATCTTGTTAGTATCATGCCTAGGATCTTGCTATTATTATTAAGATTTATTATGCGTTAACATGAATATTATTATTATTATGTTGCTTGATATTTATTATATTATTGTTATTGCTTGATCACACCTTTTATTCTTGTTTAAAGGGAATTTGTATTTGGAATCACGCTTAATAAGATAATTAATAATTTGGTTTAGGCTAATATGATTTTAAATTCAAGTGATCGCCAATAATAGTTTTATTTGTGCATTAATATTCAACCAACACAGATAAACAGGTTTAGGATTAATATATTGTTTGCATGTTAGTCATAAAGCGCACATGAATACGAGCAGAACAAAGTAGAGGCCTATTTTATAGGGCGGGTCCTTTCTTTTGTAGATTGGATTCGTACCCTCATCCCCGAACCCTGTTTGGTTCCTGACCTTATGGAGTTGACGATCTCCTGGATCGTTTTTGGGTTTACAAGTTCCTAAAACTTGTTGGCGACTCTTTTGCTCTAGCTTTCTTCCCTTTGGAGCGCCACCATACTTTAGTGTATCATCACAGTGGGGTTGACGAGTGACATTTATGGCACTCATTTGATCTCTTTTTGGATGGATTTCATTTCATTTTATAGCTCTTTTCCTTAGTTTTCCTTATTTTTACTCTTTATTCTTCATTTTGTGCTTTTCGTAGTTAGTTTCTTTACTTTGTGCATTTTCTTGTTTATTCGTTGTTTTTCTCTATTATTTGTTTCTTTTCTTATGTTTGTAGGTTATGATCGATCATCCAAAGATTTCCGAGTTTCCCTTCAACGATTATCATTGCTTTTGATGCCTTGTGCTAGTGTTTTGATCTTCAAGTCAAGAGGAACTCGGAGAGCAAGTTTCAAGACCGGTGCACGCAAGCGGTGTGGACACCATCTATGCCTTGTGCCCACCAAAATGGCCATAACTTGCTGCCTACTTCGTTGTTCATCACCATCACCAAAGGTCGTGTGCACCGGATGAGCAAGGACGAAGAAGGGGAAGGGAATACCCATGTAGTTGCGGGCGCACAGGGGAGTTGTGCGGCCGCACAAGTGGCGCGTGCGGCCGCACATCTGGCGCGTGCGGGCGCACCCTTGTGGGTATTGTGCCCGTGCGCCCCTTCTCTCTCCTACGTGCGACCGCACCGGCGTGGGTCTATTTTTGGACGTCATAACCAACTTCTCCTTTGTATATATAGTTGTTTCCTTCTATTTTTAGGATCATTATGAGATTTTCATTAGCATAGATTAGAATTGGTTTTAGAGAGAATTTTGGGAGGAGAGAGAAAACACTTGTTCTTAGATTTTTAGAGAGAGAAACTTTGGGTTTGATGACTGATGATTGAAGATTGCTACATTTTGATTTGATTTCTATCAAGTTTGTAAGAATTCTTTACTCTTTAATACAATCTTATGTTTGATTTCATTTGTTTTTGTTGATTGATTAAGTTTGTTGATAGTTTGATTGATTTAGTTTGAATTTGTTGATTTCAATTGATGAATATGAATTTGTTGATTAGTTTAACTTTGATCTTGATGTTCTTAATGGATTGTGAGTAGTTTGATTGCTAGGGTAATGGTGAAGCATGTATTATTAATGAATTGAAATTAATTTGGGGAAATTGATTGAGTTGATAATGTGATTAAATTGGTTGATTGATTTTGTGCATGTGTGTGTTTGATTTAGGCTTGATCACCCTAGTTATTCACACTAGATTGCATTGTAAGTTCACATTGATACGGACCATTGATTTGTGGCTTGCATTTACACGATTGAGGTATCTTGTGACGTTTCCTAGCTAGAGTTTATCGTAGTTGGCGCTAGTTAGACCTCTAGGAGAATAGCTTGATATGCTCTTTTGGTTGCAATATCGATTTTCCCTCACATTGCTTGACTTAATTGATTGACCTCCCAAATTAGTCGATTTTCATTATGAATGCATGTGGATTCTAGCCCTAGTGTTTGTTATTTTAGATTTACAAGTATTTAGTTGTGATTAGCCCTAGTTTAGCCTTACAACCCCGCTCTAGACTTCGGAATAGCTTAGCGTAAGACAATAGACTCTCAATTACCATTCCCTTGGGTTCGACCTTGACTTGCTACTATACTCGTATAGGGGTTAGTTAAGTATATAAATTTTGTTTGATTGATCGGGGGAGGTAGCCCAACGACCTACCGTTTCACCGCTCGTCAAAATGGCGCCGTTGCCGAGGAATGGTGTCTTGATTGTGTATTGTTGTTGAGTCTATTCCATCTTATTGAAAAAAATACAAAAAGATTTTCTTTTAGGCTACATTTGTAGCCGTGCTACTAATAATTTTTGTTTGAGAATTGTGTGTGCAAGTTAACATGGGAGAAGCTCAAAGGTTGACATTAAAGGAATTAGGCACTCCGGGAGCTTACAAGTATGAGAGTGGAATTGTTCCATTGATGGTTCCGGATCATGATTTTGAAATTAAACCGTCCATGATTACTTTAGTTGAGAGGAAGCAATTTGGAAGTACAAAGAGTGAAAATCCTCTCAATCATCTCAAAGATTTTGAGAAATATTGCAATACTATTGTGGTAACCGGAGTTGCTCAAGAGTACATAAGACTCAAGTTGTTTCCCTTCTCTCTCATTGGAAGAGCTCTACAGTGGTTGGACAAAGAGGTCAAACCAAGGTCCTTAAGAACATGGGATGAGGTTACAAAGGCTTTCTTATTTCGCTTTTTCCCACATAAGAAGATGGCGGAATCAAGAACTTTGATTCAAGATTTCAAGCAAGGGCCTAGTGAGAGTCTCTATGAAGCATGGGAGAGATACAAGGAGTATCAAAGAGAGTGTCCTCACCATGGGATTCCTACCTATCAAATAATACAAATCTTCTATGGTGGTTTGAGTTCTCATGGAAGAGCAAGTTTAGATGTCGGAGCCGGAGGCCCAATAATGAACAAAAAGGAAGAAGAAGTGGTGGATGCAATAGATGAAGTGGTTTGACATTATATGAATTGGCAAGAAGTGGAGAAAGAGCCAACAAGAAAAGGTTTCTCAATCTAACAACTTAGTGCCATTAATGATTTGACTACTTTGATTGCGGATTTAGGGAAAGAAGTTGTGTCACTCAAAGCAAAGCTTGAGAAACCACCTTCGCAAGCTCCGATTCTTCCCTCCCAAATTAAGGGGAGAGGTACATTTTCTTACCCTAACTCTAATCCTTCTTTTTGTTGCATGGTTAGAGAATGTTGGCCTTGTGATTTATGTGGAATGAATGATCATGATGCTTATATGTGCCCCAATGTTCCTTATGATGAATGTGATGGAATTGAAGTTGAGCATGTGAATTATGTTAATGATCATGAATGTGACCTAGAATTGATGTTCAAAGAAATGTTGGAAATAGGAATTATCATAATCATGTGAACCATGATAATTATAACCAAAATGGAGGTTGTAGAAATCATGGATTCCAAGGGGTTCATGGTAGCTACAATAACAATGGTTATAATGGTCAAGGTCATGGCCAAGGACATGGGGATCATAATCAAGGTTATGGTAACCATAGTCAACAAAGAGGCCAAAATCAAACTAGGGGTAATTGGAATAATCAAAGTAGGGGATATCTTCAAGAAAATTTTCAAAGAGGTTCTCCAATTAGTTTAGTTCCAAATGCTCAAAGTTTAAGTGATGATTCCTATGATCAATCATTTTCTTCTAGGAATTTCTTGGTAGGAATTATTGAGAAACAAGCTAAGATTCTAGAAACTTACATGGCTTTGAATGATGAGAAGTTCAATCACATGTTGTCTTATAATAGAGATTTAGGTGATAAACTCTTTCAGTTGGCTAGTGTGTTTAAGGAATGTGCAAACTCCTCTTCTTTGACTTCACCTAGTCTAGATTCTAAGAACCCTATGGATGCTATTGTTACTAGAAGTGGTAGGATCCTTGAGGGTGGAGTGCCTTAGAAGAGTGTCTCTAGAGAGAGCACTAGTAAGAGTCCCATCGAAATTGAGGGAGATGAGTGTCCTTTGAATGAAAAGGTTGATGAGGAGCAAGTAGAGAAAGAGAAAGAGAAAGAGTTTTACAAACCCAAGCTTCCCTATCCCCAAAGGTATAATAGACACAAATTGGATGAGCAATTTGGGAAATTTATAGAGATGCTTAAGCAACTTCATCTAACTCTTCCTTTCACCGATGTTGTAGAACAAATGCCAAACTATGCTAAGTTCCTCAAAGATATTTTGAGTGGAAAAAGGACATGTGACATGATGGAAACAATTAGCCTACCCGAACATTGTAGTGCAATAATCATGAATAAGATGCCTCCTAAGTTGAAGGATCCCGGAAATTTCTCCATCCCTTGTGCCATTAATAAGACTCAAATTGATAATGCCCTATGTGACTTAGGAGCTAGTGTTAGCCTTATGCCATATTCGGTTTATCAAAGATTAGGTCTAGGAGAACTTTTACCTTCCAAGATTACCTTGCAATTAGCCGATAGATCAATTAAGATTCCAAAGGGGAAGGTAGAAGATGTTCCTTTTAGGGTTGGGAAATTTGTCATTCCGGTTGATTTTGTAGTGTTAGATATGCATGAAGATTCTACTATACCTTTCATCTTAGGAAGACCATTCCTTGCTATATCGGGGGCTATGATTGATGTCAAAAGTGCTAAGATTTCTCTTAAGATTTGAGAGGAGGTAGTTGAATTTGATTTGAATGAAGGCATGAAATATCCCTCTTCTTCTTTTGAGAATTGCATGAGAGTTGAAGTTCTTGATAACATTGTGCAATCCATGCATGAGCACTTGCTCACATCTAATGATCCCCTTGAGTGTGTTTTGTTGAACAAGGAAAAGATAGGTATCCTAAGCAAGGAAGTGCAATTGTATGAAGACTTGCTTGATGTAAGCAATAAAGGGAGTGATGATCAAATTTGTATGGGGATATCAAGTCAATATGCTTTGCATGTGGCCTCAACCAAACAAGGTAAAGGTGTTCCCATGGTAGAGCTCAAACCTCTACCATCACACCTTAGGTATGAATTCTTAGGCCCTAACTCTACTTATCCCGTCATTGTTAGTGCATCCTAGAGTGAGAGCCAAGCTCAAGCGTTATGTGGTGTCTTGAGAAAGCACCAAGGTGCTTTGGGGTACACAATTGATGATCTTAAGGGCATAAGCCCCGCCTTGTGTACACACCACATAACACTTGAGGAGGTCACCCTACCTTCTATTGAACGACAAAGGAAACTACATCCCCAAATGGGAGAAGTAGTAAAGAAATAGATCACCAAGCTTTTGGATGCGGGAATCATATTCCCCATCTCAAGCTCGAGTGGGTCTCCCCCGTGCATGTCGTTCCTAAGAAGGGGGGTATGACCGTAGTTAAGAATGAGAAAGGTAAACTCATTCCAACTAGAACGGTCACCGGTTGGAGGATGTGTATAGACTATAGACGTCTAAACACATCAACCAAAAAGGATCACTTCCCTCTCCCTTTTATTAACCAAATGCTTGAAAGGTTGACAAGGCACAAGTTCTATTGCTTCCTTGATGGATATTCGGGATTCTTTCAAATTCCTATTCATCCCGAGGATCAAGAAAAGACAACCTTCACATGCCCCTATGGTACTTTTGCATATAGAAGAATTCCCTTTGGATTGTGTAATGCTCCGGCGACCTTTCAAAGGTGTATGCTGAGCATTTTTGGGGACATGCTTGAAGAGGAAATGGAGGTTTTTATGATTTTTCCGTGGGAGGAGTTTCATTTGAGAATTGCCTCAAAAATCTTGAGAAGTGTCTTGAAAGGTGTGAAAAGGTCAACTTGGTGCTAAATTGGGAAAAATGCCACTTCATGGTGGAAGAAGGGATTGTGCTTGGACACAAAATCTCTCATAAGGGTATAGAAGTTGACAAAGCCAAGATTGAGGTGATAGAGAAATTGCCACCTCCGGTTAATGTGAAGGGAGTAAGATCGTTTTTGGGCCATGCCGGGTTTTATAGAAGGTTAATCAAAGACTTTTCTCTCAATGCTAAGCCTTTAAATGATCTTCTCCAAAAAGATGTTGATTTTGTCTTTGATGATGCTTATTTGGAAGCTTTTAACAAATTGAAGAGAGCTTTGACTTCCACTCCTATTGTACAAGCCCCTAGATGGGATTTGCCTTTTGAGCTCATGTGTGATGCTAGTGATACGGCCATTGGGGGTGTGTTGGGTCAAAGAATTGATAAGAAGCTTCATGTCATCTATTACATGTCGAAGACCCTTAATGGTGCTCAAAGGAATTATACAACAACAGAAAAGGAATTCTTGGCAATTATTCATTCTTTTGAAAAGTTTCGTTGTTATTTATTGGGGTCTAAGACTATAGTTTTCACCGATCATGCGGCTTTAAAGTATCTCTTTGGGAAAAAGGAATCCAAAACAAGGTTGATACGTTGGGTTCTTGAGCTTCAATCTTTTGATCTTGAGATCCGGGATAAGAAAGGTGCGGAAAATGTGGTTGCGGATCATTTATCTAGGCTTGAGGATTTTCAAGTTCAAGATGATGGTTCCCCTATTGAGGATCGGATGTTGGATGATTCCTTATATGTTATTAATGTGAAGGAGCTCCCATGGATTGCCGATTTGGTAAATTTTCTTGGTTGTGGGGAGTTCCCTCCTTCTTTTTCCAACAATCAAAGGAGGAAGCTCAAGAGAGAAGCTAGGCATTATGTGTGGGATGAGCCGATTTTTTATAAAAGAGGTGTGGATGGATTGTTGCGCCGGTATGTGCCAAATGAGGAAATACCAAATGTTTTGAAGATGTGCCACTCGGATCCTAGTGGTGGTCATATGGGTGTTTCAAGAACGGCCTCTAAGGTGCTTCAATGTGGTTTATGGTGGCTAAACCTCTTCAAGAATGCTTGGGAATTCGTCAAGAGTTGTGATTAATGCCAAAGAATCGGGAATATTTCAAAAAGGAATGAGATGCCCCAACAACCAATTCTTGAGTTGGAGATCTTTGATGTTTGGGGTATAGATTTCATGGGTCCTTTTCCATCTTCTTTTGGGAATCGATACATTCTTGTTGTCATTGATTATGTGTCAAAGTGGGTTGAAGCCATTGCTTCTCCAACAAATGACCATAAGGTGGTTATGAAGTTATTGAAGAAGATTATATTCCCAAGGTTTGGCATTCCCAAGGCGGTTATAAGTGATAATGACTCTCATTTCGTGCACTATGCTTTCCGAAAAATGTTGAAGAAACATGGGGTGAACCAAAGATTTGGTCTTCCTTATCATCCTCAAACCAATAGACAAGTTGAGGTATCTAATCGTCAAATTAAGTTGATTCTTGAGAAGACGGTTGCAAGGAGTAGGAAAGATTGGTCAAATAAGCTTGATGATGCTTTGTGGGCGTATAGAACGGCTTTCAAAACTCCTGTTGGTACCACTCCTTATCGTTTGTTTTATGGGAAGTCTTGTCATCTTTCGGTGGAGCTTGAGCACCGCACTCATTGGGCAATCAAGAAGATTGATTTTGACTTGGCTAGTGCGGGAGAACAACGTTGGTTGGATTTACATAAGTTGGAAGAGCTTCGTTTGGATGCTTATGATTGTGCTAGCTTGTATAAGGCTAGAAACAAGAAGGTGCATGATAAGCTAATTGAGAAGAAAGAGTTCATTCTGGGAGATAAGGTGCTTCTCTACAATTCAAAAATGAGGCTTTTTCCCGGAAAATTGATGTCTCGTTGGACCGGTCCATTTGTTGTGCAAGAGGTGTTCTTAAATGGTTCTATTGAAATTTCACCTTTGGAACTTTCAAGGACTTTCAAGGTCAACGGACATAGGCTCAAGCGTTATTATGAAGACGTTTTTGTTGGAGTCATTCGTGACATGACTCTCTATGATCCACCTTGAAAAGGATGGAGAATGTCAAGCTTAAGACTTTAAATAAGCGCTTATCGGGAGGCAACCCGAGTTTCTAACCTTTTCTCCTTTTCTTTTCATTTTTCCTTTTGATTTGATGATGATTTTGTCTTATAATCTTGTTTTGTTTTGTTTTGTGATGTAGGTTTGTTTGAGTTGAAATCCAACAACTTTGATGCCATTTTTGAGGTAAAATTGTCCCATTTCTTGAGTTGGAAAATTTTGTAAGTATGGAGCTTGGTGGGTTCTTGTGATTAAATTCTTGTTTTTCATACTTTATACCCACCAAGATGAAGGTTTTCTACTGCCTATATGGGTTTTCATCACCATCATGTAGGTGGGCGCACCTAGGTGAGGGAGGAAGGAAAAGAGGAGAGGAGACCCTCGTGGGTGCGCCCGCACACAGCTGATGTGCGGCCGCACACGAGGCGTGTGTGGGCGCACCATTCTCTTGTGCGGCCGCACAAGGGTTGGTCGAGCCCTCCCTTTTTGCCCCCTTTTAAAATTCGATTCCCCTTTTCTCCTTCTCTCTCCTACTTCATTTTTACCCTCTAGATCTAATTGGTTATTGCTCTAGTTCTTCCTTCATCTCCATCATATATTTCTCATTGATTCTTCATTAAAGCTCATAATTTTCAAGTTTTTGTTGCTCAAATTCTCATTCAAGCACATTCAAGGTAACTTTCTCTCTCCTAAATTTGAGATTTTTGGGTATTCTTTAATTGAAATTTTGTAGTATGTTATAAGGGATGTTAGTAAGTAGTAGTATTTTCTTGTTGATTTCTTGTGTTTTCTTATCAATTGAAGGTGTAATTGCATCAATTTTGTGATAAATTTTCAATTTTTATGATTCATGAGAATTTGATTTTGGTAGTACTACCTCTACTAGCATACCCATGTTGCTACTACTTGTTTCAATACTTGATGATAATGAAGATGATGATGTTGTTGATGTTGATTTTTGTTATGATGATGGTTTTACTTGAGCAAATTAAATATTTTGGCATGAATTTTGTTGGATTTGTTGATAGATTAGTTTGTGGGTTTATTGTTGGTGTTGATGGTGATGATGTTGACAAGGGTTTGTTATTCATAGTATGTTATGTTGCTTCTACTAATTGTGATATGGGACAACAATTGTGACAATAATGGTGATTTGTTTATGCATTATTCATTTGAATTGAATATTTGCCTACTTCTTTGATTATTGTGGACTTTGTTAGTTTCACCATTATCATGATTAGTTTTTAGCACATTATTTGCTATATTTTGAAGCCCTTTTCTTTGTTGGTTGCTTGTAGATGGTTACTCCTCGCTGCACAAAACGTGCTAAACATTACAACCCAAGGGATGTAATTGAGCCGCCTTCTTCCATTGAAGAAACTTATGGTATAAGATTTCGGAAGAGAGAGCATTGGGATAGATTTGCAAATCTTTCATCTAGGAAGCTTTATTCCACTCGGTTCTATGATCAAGAGACAACAACTCTTTTCGGAATTGATGACGATGTGAGGATGCTAGCAAGGAACCTTGGTCTTGAAAACTTCATCGATCTTAATGCTCCAACCTTTCCTCGAATCACTTTTGAGTTTCTTGCCTCACTAGATGTTCATGGTGGTAGTGATGATGATGAGCCTCCTACCTTATTCTTCCAAGTCTTCAATGAAGATCACTCCATCCCTCTTTCTTATCTCAATGAAATGTTTCATTTTCCCGACCCGATTGAAGGTGTTCCTTTGTTATACCCGGCTTATGAGACCTTACATAGGGATCACAAGTA